TGCGTATGTGTGTGCGCGTGCGTGCGTGCGTGCGTGCGTGCGCGTGTGTGTGTATGTGTGTGCGTGTGCGTGTGCGTGTGCGCGTGCGTGTTCGCGCGCGTGTGCGCGTGCGTGTGCGCGTGCGTGTGCGCGCGCGCGTGAGCGCGTGTGTGCGCGCGTGCGCGTGCGGACGCGCGCGCGCGTGCGCTCGCGCGCACGTGCGCGCGCGCGTGCGCGGGAGAGAGTTCGCGCGCGCGCGAGAGAGAGAGAGAGAGAGAGAGAGAGAGAGAGAGAGAGAGAGAGAGAGAGAGAGAGAGAGAGAATGCGAGTGGGAGCGCGCGCGAAAGCGCGCGCGAGAGCGCACGTGAAAATGCGCGCGCGAATGCGCGCGGTAGCGCGCGCGAGACTGCATGCGGGACCGCGCGCGAGACTGCGCGCGAGACTGCGCGTGGGACTGCGCGAGAATACGCGCGGGCATGTGCGCGAGAATGCGCGTGAGAATGCGCGTGGGAATGCGCGCGGGATGGCGCGTGAGAATGCGCGCGAGAATCCGCGCGGGAATGCGCGTAAGAATATGCGAGGGGATGTCTGCGGGAACGCGCGCGGGAATGCGCGTGAGACCGCACGCGAGAATGCGCGCTAGAATGCGCGCGAGAATGCGCGCGAGAATGCGCGTGAGAATGTGCGCGGGAATGTGCGCGAGAATGCGCGCAAGAATGCGTGCGAGCATGCGTGCGAGAATGGTCGTGGGAATGTGTGAAAATGTGCGTGGGAATGGGTGGGTGCGCGCGTGCGCGCGCGTGCGCGCGCGCGCGTGCGCGTGTGCGCGTGCGCGCGCGCGTGCGAATGCGCGCGCGCGTGCACGTGCGCGCGAGCGTGTGTGCGTGTGTGCGTGTGCGCGGGTGCGCGGGTGCGCGGGCGCGCGGGCGCGCGGGCGCGCGGGTGCGCGGGTGCGCGGGCGCGCGGATGCGTGAGTGTGTATGGGTGTGTGTGGGTGTGTGTGTGGGTGTATGGGCATGCGTGGGTGTGTGTGGGTGTGTGTGAGTGTGGGTGTGGGTGCGCGTGTGGGTGTGCGGGTGTGCGCGGTTGTGCGTGGGTGTTTGTGGGTGTGCGTGTGTGTGTGGATGTGTGTGGTTGTGCGTGGGTGTGTGTGGGTGTGTGTGGGTGTGGGTGTGGGTGTGCGGGGGTGCGTGTGGGTGCGCGTGGGTGTGTTGTGTGGTGTGTGTGTGGGTGTGCGTAGGTGTGAATGGGTGCGTGTGGGTGCGTGGGTGCGCGCGGGTGTGGGTGTGTGCGTGGGTGTGTGTGGGTGTGTGGGTGCGTGGGTGTGCGTGGGTGTGTGTGGGTGTGTGTGGGTGTTTGTGGTGTGTGCGGGTGTGTGGGTGGGTGTGTGTGGGTGTGTGTGGGGTGTGTGTGGGTGTGTGTGAGGGTGGTGTGGATGTGGTGTGGGTGCGCGTGGGCGTGTGTGGGTGTGTGTGGGTGTGTGTGGGCGTGTGTGGGTGTGCGTGGGTATGTGTGGGTCTGTGTGGGCGTGCGTGGGTGTGTGTGGGCGTGTGCGGGCGTGTGTGGGTGCGTGCGGGTGTGTGTGTGGGTGTGTTGGGCGTGTGTGGGCGCGTGTGGATGCGTGTGGGTGCGTGTGGCTGTGCGCGGAAGTGTGCGGGCGCGCGCGGGTGTAGGTGGGTGTGCGTGGGTGTGTGTGGGTGTGCGGGTGTGCGTGGGTGTGTGTGGGGTGTTTGTGGGTGTACGCGGGCGGTGCGTGGCGTGGCGTGCGCGGGTGTGCGTGGGCGTGTGTGGGTGTGTGCGGGTGCGTGTGGGTGTGTGTGGGTGTGTGTGGGTGTGCGTGGGCGTACGTGGGCGCGCGTGCGGGCGGGGTGGATGCCGCGTGGATGTGTGCGGGCGTGGGTGTGGGTGTGCGTGGGCGCGTGGGTGCGTGGGCGCGGCGCGCGTGGGCGTGCGTGGGCGCGCGTGGGTGTGCGTGGGCGTGCGTAGGTGGTCGTGGGTGTGCGTGGGCGTGCGTGGGCGTGCGTGGGCGTGCGTGGGTGTGCGCGGGTGCGTGTGGGCGCGTGTGATGTGCGCGTGGGCGCGCATGTGGCGCGCGCGCGGGCGTGCGCGGGCGCGCGCGCGCGCGCGGGCGCGCGCGCGGGCGCGGGCGCGGGCGCGCGGGCGCGGGTGCGCGCGCGGCGCGCGCGGGCGCGGGCGCGGGCGCGGGCGCGGGCGCGGGCGCGGTTGCGGTTGCGAGCGTGGGCGCAGGCGCGGGCGCGGGCGCGGGTCAAGTTAGCTAGCTCGAACGAGCCGGAGGGATCCGCCCACCCCCCCCCGCCCACCCGCAACATAAGAAGCAAGTGCGTCGCGCCCGACGCCTGTCGCTCATCTTATATCGCGGGCGGCTAGATGTTCAGCACGCGACATGAGCTGCGCCCCATTCCTGCCGCGCATTGAGCAATGCCGACGAGAAACAAGACCGCGCGCGATGCACGCCGCGCCCCGCTCCGGTCTCTCACGTTGCATCGTCGGCGACAACACGTCCAGCGCGCAGCCGCGGCCGGAGGGGCCCGGGGGTCGATTTGGTATGATTTGCGCGCACCAAAGGTCGCCGTTGCCAAAGGTCTCTCATGTGGGCGCGACAACGGGCGCGCCTGCGGCGAACCGCACTTGCCCCAGGCATTATGACTCGCCGCCCACCCAGACCCTCAACCCGACGGGCCGCAGCGTCGACGACAAGAAAATCAGCGCCGACGAGCAGGCGCCCCCGCGCGACGCGCGCCGCGCCCCATTCCCGCTACACGATTCGCAGCACCGACGAGGAGAAAGTACATATTAGCAAGAAAAACGTCGACGTTGCTGTTCTTCGGCAGGTCGGACGGAGGGCCCCGCGCAGGGTTGTCCAGGCGTCCGCGCGCGATGTGCGCCGTGCCCCATTCCTGCTACACTTCTCGCAGCGTCGACGACAAGAAAGTCCACGTTGACGAGAACAACGTTGACTTTGCATTGTTTTTGATGGGTAGGACGCGACCACCCGCTTCCTGTTACCCAAGCGATGTTCATTCCGTCCCATTCCTGCTACACTTTTCGCAACTCGACGCCATGTTGGCGAAGCAAATTGAGTTTGCGTTGTCGTTTGCAGTCATGGCGGCGGGGTTGCCATCGGCCGGCTAGGTGGGGACGCGGGGGCGTTTAATCATCGGAAGTAAGGATGCGGTTGTGGGCGTGGGCGTGGGTTTGGGGGTCTGGATGTGGAGGTGCAGGCATGGGGGTGTGATTGTGGGGATGTGGGCGTGGGGGCGTGGGCGCGGGCGCGCGGGCGTGGGTGCGTAGGTGTGGGTGTGTGGGCGTGGGTTTGTGGATGTGGGTGCGTGGGCGTGGGCGCGTGGGCGCGCTGGCGTTGGTGCGTGGGCGCGGGCGCGTGGATGCGCGGGCGTGGGCGCGCGGGCGCGTGGGCGCGCGGGAGCGCGGGTGCGCGGGCGCGTGGGCGCGCGGGCGCGTGGGTGCGCGGGCGTGGGCGCGGGTGTGGGCGTGGGCGTGGGCGCGCGGGTGTTGTGGGCACGTGGGCGTTGTGGGCGTTGTGGGTGTTGCGGGTGTTGTGGGTGTTGTGGGCGTGGGTGCGCGGGTGCGCGGGCGCGCGGGCGCGGGCGTGGGCGCGGGCGTGGGTGGGCGGGCGCGTGGGCGCGGGCGGGTAGGCGGGCGCGGGCGGGCGGGCCACGGTTCGCTCTCCGCTCGTCAGCCTCAGAAGCGCGGACACGCAGCGAAACAAATACACATCGAGCCCAAGAAGGGCATGAGGGAGTGAACCCTGACGTGCGCCGAGCCCCGCGGGGCACAGCCCACCCCGCAGGGCCCCTCCCCCGCCCGAAGGCAAACGCGCTCGCCGCAGGCATTCGCGATCCTCGGACCCGCCTGGCGCCGCGAGCAGCGGCAGCGGGAAGGGAACCCAGGGGCGCGCGGAGCCCGCCAAGGGCTGCGCCTACGCCGCACGGGCCCCTTCTCACCCGAACGACCGCACACTCGACGGACCGATGGGTCCCGAGCCGCAATGCGCCAGACAACTCTGAGCAGAGCCAGCAGCAGGGCCAACGAGATGCCCCGCGAAGGCATTATGAATAGAAAGCGGCAGCAACTGGCGAGCAAATTTCCGCATCGGACACCCACGCGCCCAAGGCCTGGGGCGCCTCGAGCGGCGCCCTGGGGAGGAGGCCGGCCGCTGCGAGGGCCCACCGCGAGGCGGCCGCCGCCTCCAGAAGCTCGCCTGCAGACAAGAAGCCTACGCCGATGCCATCCGCCGACGTCGCCGAACCCGTCGCCGTCTGACCCTGCAGGGGCAGCGGCGTCGCCCGCGGCAGCTGGGCCAGCGCCCCGGATGACTATCAGACTCCCCCCCGCTGCGCAGCGCTGCTGGGTGATCGCCTGCAGGTCGCCCCACTCGATCTCGTCCACGTGGACTCCAGGCGCCGCGGGCCCTCGGGAACCACAGTCACCGCCCTCGAGCTCCTCGGGAACGGGGGGCGCAGCCGCCCAATTCAGCTCGTCGGCGAGGCGCCTCATGTCGGTGGAATCCCTGCCGCCCCACAGCCAAGTGAGATCCCTGAAGCCGCGTGGGCCGTCGGTGCGAGCGGGCAGGAGAGGCAAGGCCCTGAGGCCCACAGCCCCCTCGAGGAGGACATCGACGGTGTCGAACCCGTCGGCAAACTCGCAATCATCGCCTCGATCCTCCACCACGAGGGACGAGAGCGAGCCGTCAGATGTGTCGTCGCTGTGCTCGCCCATGGCCGCAGGCACATCCGTGCACCTCGCGATGTACGCCTGCAGCTGCTCCCTGAGCATGGCGAGCTGGTCCCGCAACGCATGCTCCGCAGCAGCCCAGCCTTCCTGTAGGGAGCGGATGTCCTGGGCCTGCTTCGCGACCAGAGCCCCGTACTGGGTGCAGTTCGACACGGAATGGCAGGGGCTCCGCTCCGTCTGGACGCTGCCGTCCGCCGCAACGGCGACGACCCGGTCCGCGAAGCTCACGGTGTGGGGGCGCGTTGCCGCCGCGCGCCGCCCTCCATCTGTGGCCGAGGGCAGCCAGTCCAGGCGGGGGCCTGCGGCGGCCCGCGATAGGCCCGCTGCGAAGGACTAGCAGCGCGTGCCACGCGGCGTTCCGCCGCCGCCGCATTGCGCCGGGGACGCGGCATCCCGCGGCGGCTCGGCGCAAGGCGGGACGCGCAGCAGCCTCCTGGTCCTGCCAGGAACCTGGGTCGCCGCTGGCCGCCTTGCCGGCTGCTGCCACGGCCGCGAGGAGGCGCCGTGCCCGCGCCCGTCGGCAGGCCGCCGAGGCGCCTACCTCGGCCTCCTTCCTCCTGCGCAGCGCACTGCCGCGCCTGGTTGGCGGCCCCGCCATCGCGCCTGCGGGCAGCCCCCCGTCGCCAGTGCTCATCTCCCAATCGCGCGCCGCTGACCGCTGCGCGTGGGCGCCTGCGAGAGATCCGGAGAAACAGCTTGAGCCAAAATGGTTACGGATCATGATGATGATGATGACGACGATGATGATGATGATGATGATGATGATGCTGATGATGATGATGATCATGATGATGATGATGATGATGATGATGATGATGATGATGATGATGATGATGCTGATGGTGATGATGATGATGATGATAATGATGACGATGATGATGATGATGATGATGATGATGGTGATGATGATGATGATGACGATGATGATGATGATGGTGACGCTGGAGGAGGAGGGAGGAGGGGGAGGGAGGAGGAGGAGGAGAACGCGGGAACCGTTACTTCAAAACGAGGACCCAACACCACAGGACGATTGGGAATAAAGACGTCTCTATACATATATATATACAGGTCTCTCAGTTGTAAAGATACATATGTGCATAACAGCTGCGACAACAAACAACAAACAAAAAGGCCTTGAGCCCAACGTGCAAACAATCATAACCGAAGGGAGAGCAGCGGCAACAAAAAGGAGACGGGGAGGGGGGGGGAGAGAAATGGGAAGGGAAGGCAGTGGGAAGGAGAAGTAGAGTGATGATGGTGAAGATAAAGAGATGTCTGATGACAAGCCAGACAGGTAGTGGCAAAAGCAGGGGGGGGTTCAAGCAGACGGAGGAGACAGCAAAGCCCAACAACAAAGGCACTGCCGACACTCACATCACGCGCACGCAAAGGTAACCTGTATGAACTGTCGGCTCGAAACTCAACAAGGCCGGGGGGTACGGAAATACGGCCTGCGAGGTAGAGACGAATTGAGGAGGAGAAGCAGGCGAAGCAGGGTGGGGGAGAGGATGAGGAGGAGCTGGATGCTCATAAAACGTCACATGCAACTGCGCCCCCCCCCTCCGCAACAGCTCGAGAGATCCTCTCTGCGGCTTCTGGAGAACGTGACCTGGGCTACCGCGGGTACGCACGCACGTAAAACAGCGCGTGCCGACTGACATGGAAAAAAACAGCATGGCGCCGTGCTGTGCAGAAGAGGCACGGTGAGGTGGCACGGTGGCGATGCCATGTGTTGCTCTCACAACGCGGCGCGATGGCACGAGCCAGCAATGCTGTGGTATGGCGAAGCGGGGCGACATAGACTCTAAACACGGGTTCCTCACATCAGCAATGCCGGAATACAGTCCTACCCAGTCGAATCAGCGGGCCCAATTGGATGGATGGCACTAGAACTAAAAACGTAGGCTGGTCGAAACGCATACATAGTGATAGGATACCGTTAAAGCCGTACCCACCACCGTCGCTCTCCGCAAGACGAAAGCACGGCTGGAGGACGCGCGAGCTAGCACACGAACCCTGCAGGAGCAATGGATTTGAGGGCGCGTGAGCACATGGCTCATAACAACGCCCCATTGCACCATAATCCACCCTGTCTGCACTGTGACTACCTTAAACATACAAATGCGCATGTCCCCCTCTTGTACAACACCCAGATCGGCCGAACCCCAAACATGACCAGCCAACTGGAAATGAGTGACGTCAAGACTGGTCATATCATTTGCGCTGCAAGACGCGTATAACGTAGCAGTGGCAAGGCACCTCTTGGGGGCAAGAAACAAAGCGAATACAAAATACAAGGAAGATCGATTAAGGTTCGGTTGGCCATGTCGGCAGCCCCGTCACCATAATCATCACGTCAACCACCCAATACTCGTTCGACCCCCTCCGAGGTGGCATAGATCAACCTGTTGCACCACTGGCCCGAAACGGTACCGCTCTGCATGAACAGAACACACTTATCGATCGGCTCGGGGTATCTCCTCCTACTGCTCCCACGGCTTTAGCCGTACAGTCGGGGCGTTGACCAAAGGAACCCAAAATAAGGAACGAGGCCCCTTTGTTCCACAAGTCAAACTTCGATGTCCGATCGAAAGCATAAGGAAAACCTGAGGCAAGCTGCGAAACACTTAAGGAACGCGGAGCCCCTCCCCAACGAAAAGGGTTCCTTCTTCAGGGCCCCGACTGTACCCCTATCTTCCCCCCTCTGTCCAAAAACCTCCACGCATCCCTCCCCCGCTCTGCCGGCCCCTCCTCGCCACCTCTCCCAGACCCTCCCCTTTAATCTCCCCCTCCCCCGCCCCCTCCCTCCAGCTCCCCCAGACTTCTCCCTCCGAGAATGGCCATCCACTTTTTCCACAGCTTCACCCTCGAGACCCTCACACACACACACACACACACACACACACACACACACACACACGCACACACACACACACACACGCACACCCCCGCGCACACATACCCACAAAAAAAACGAACACACACACACACACCACACACACACACTTCAAACTGCGCCAACCAGAAGCAGCCTCAGTGCGCATGGAAGGGGCATCGACATACAAAAAACGCCATCGCTTTTTTGCTAAGGAAGAAACGGGAGAAGGGACGGGAGGGGGGGAATGGAGGAGGGGACGGGATGAGGGCGGAGGGGCAAGAAAGGGAGGTGGATGGGAGAGGGGGAAGGGAGCAGGAGGAAGAGCAGGAGGAGCAGCATGAGCGGTAGGAAGAGAAGCAGCAGCAGCCGCAAAAGCAGGAGCAGGAGTACGAGCAGAAACACGAGCAGGAATGAAGGGGGCAGGAGAAGGGAAGGTGTGGATTCGAAGAGGGAGTAGGAGAGGAGGCGGCGCTCCAGGGCAATGAGGTTACTCCTGGCTGTGACTGAGGAGGAGTTCGCGTAGGAGGAGGAGGAGGAGGAGGAGGAGGAGGAAAGGGAGGAGGAGGAGGAGGAAAGGGAGGAGGAGGAGGAGGAGGAGGAGAGGGAGGAGGAGGAGGAGGAGTAAGACAAAGACGTTGACGAGAACGAGGACGACGACGACGACGCTGACAGAGAGGAGAAAGGGAGGAGGAGGAGCCGGAGGATGAAGAGGACGAGGAGAAGGAGGAGGCCAGGAGGAGAAGAGGTGGGAGGAGGGGAGGAGGAGTCGAACAAGGCAGGGGCAAGATAAGGAGCGGTAGGAGAGAGGCGTTCAAAGACCCATCCAGTGGGGTACCCTTCTGGCGCTGGATGGGTAGGGGTACCTATACCATTACCAATCCAGCACGGCGGGGTACCCATCCAACGCTGGATAAGTAGTGGCGGGTGGCTGCTTGGGGGACCCATCCGTGAAATTATCCAACTGGCGCTGGATGGCTATGTAGCCGTAGGGTGGACGCCAGCGGGTGTGCAATATCCTGGGTAGCGCACTTCCGAAGAAAATACATGCGCATTCCCCCTCGCAAGGAACCGCAACTCCTCGTGTGGAAAGACAGCAACTCCCATCTGACGGCCCCACCGTTAGCCCCACCTTTAGCCTTCCTCCTCCTCCTCCTCCTCCTCCTCCTCCTCCTCCTCCTCCTCCTCCTCCTCCTCCTCCTCCTCCTCCTCCCCCTCCTCCACCTCCTCCTCCTCCACCTCCTCCTCATCCTCCTCCTCCTCCCTCTCCTTCTCCTGAGGGGTCCTCTCTTCCCCTCGCATCCTCCCGGAGGACGGCCACACGAGAGACCACAGCGGCTCTCCCTTTCGGCCCGCATCCGGCACAAAGCAATGCCCGGACCCCTTCTGCCGTGGCGGCGAGAAGCCGCGGCGGATCCGGCCGTGGCGACACAAAAAGCCTCCAGAAGGGGGCCCAAGAGCCACCAGCAACGCCAGGGAGGGCCGCCGCTGCCTCGACCGGCCCTCCTCCGATCCTCCTCCTCCTCCCGTCTCTTCTTCCTCCGCCGCGTCCCTCCCCCCCCCCCCCACTAGCCGTCGCTCGGACGTCCATTTCCCGGGCATGTTTCGGTTTCGTGCGTGTTTTTTTTTCGCTCGGTGGTCCAGGATGGTCCTCGATGGTTCTCGCCGAGGAAAAATGCACACGTCCGAGCGATGCCAAGCCCAGCATCCACGAGGGTCTGCTAGACCAGACTTGGCGGCTGGCCCTCGGCGCATGCGGCTGCCCCGCCCCCAGCGGGCCTGTCGTGGCGAGGCATCGCCAGGCCAGCTCGCACCCTGGGCAAGGGGAGAGAAAGGAGGAGGACGCCGACGATGACAGCAGCGACAACGAGAGAGGAAGAGGAAGGAGAGCGAGGGGGGAGGAGAATAGAGAGGGAGGTCATGGGGGAGGAGAAAAGGGGGGGAGGCGGAGGAGGAGGGGGGGGAGCATTCCTTGCACGATCCCCTAAACATGCTTGCGCGTGGGGCTCTTGACCTCCCCTCTGCAGTCATCGGAGAGGACTACCAGGTTTGCTCCTGGTCGCCGCCCATGGGCGTCTCTGCTCCTTCCGCACGAGTGTATTGCCGCGCCCATGGGCGCCAGCTGTGTCCAATTAAAGTGGAGCTGAGCCCACACCCAGATGATTCCACTTAGATTCCAGCACGAGAAAACAGCAAGGAAATGACGAATCGGAAAGATGGATTCTCAAGCACGGATGGAAGCATGGCGGCTGAATGGTATGAGCACGAATGAAGAGCTCAGATACCAATACGAAACGCAAAATGAGTGGGAGCTGGGGGGCGGCACATATATATATATATATATATATATATATATATATATATATATATATA